TAACTGCACCAAAGTCTTGGCGACTGGGCTGGAGGGAAATCTGGAGTAAGTATTGCAAAAAGTGCTTTTATTGGGAGATGGAGTTTGGGGGAGTTGGAGGGAGGGGGGTCAGGGGGCACAAGTTGTCTTTTGCTTTGTTTAAATGAGAGCAAAGTCTGAGAAGCCAGCCAGGGAGGCGAGCCTGGCGCCTGTTCGAATTTCCTGGCTCTTTTTCTTTCCCTTTTTTCCAAATGCAGCCAACTCGACTCTTCTCCCTCCCGAGAAGGCAAAAGCGCCCAGAAGCCCTACACGTGTTGACTCCCCAGTAAGTCCCACCCATCCTCCTCCAGATAGAGAGGATCGTGACCTCAGAGCCAAGGCGATCCCCGTCGATCTTAGTGAAGCTGGCTTCTGGGATCTGTACCTCCAGAGTTGGTGCAAAGAGCCAGGACTGGCTTCTAAGCCGCACTCAGGCACCGTGATTGGACCGTGCTATTTTTTCCCCTTTTCCCCACTGCAGCGGGGAGGCTGTGAGCTACTCAGCGGTGGTGGTGCTCTTCATCTGGCTCGGCAAAAAGTCAGGAGGCCTGCGCAGCTAGTTGAGGGGCCCAGCCCCAAGATGCCCCAATGTAGCTGCGGGCCTGTTTAAGCCCCAGTAGGGAGAAAAGACAACAAGAAAAAATTGGTTAATTTCTCTCCTGTCTACTGGGCCTTTATGCAGTCTGGGGGGAGGGGAAGATATTTTTATTAGGGTACTCATGGGGGGGGGAGCATGTGTTGCCCTCAAGCCCTCTTATAGGTTTCCCAGAAGCATCTGCCAGGCCACGGTTAGAAAGGGGGGGCTGTACTTATAGACTGGGGTCTGATCCAGCAAGGGTTTTAATTATATTCAAAAAGTTCCCAAAGAAAAGATTTGCTAGAAGAAAGCTTAGTCCCCCCCTGAATTTGCTTCTATTTTACTTTTTTTTTTTTTTGCTATGGCAAGTTATAAAAAGATGTGTTTGCACAAGATACACAGAACATGCAGATGTAAAAAAGCATACTGCTGAGTAAATATTGAGCTATATATGAAATTTCAAAGGACAATCGAGCGAAAATGAAGTACGTCTTATGTATACATCCATCCTTCTTTGCCCAAGTATACCATTTTCTTCCTGGCAAAGAGTTCTACACCTTCAGTCTCAAATGGCTTCTAAGCAAAAGCAAAACTGGCACTTCCACGAAGCTCTAACAAGCGAAAGCAGGAATAAAAAGAAATTGTTCCTAGGTACATTTACAGCCATCTGGCTCAGAATAATTTCCTTCATAAGTCAAAACCTGATTTCTGTATATAGCCTCAAAAGTGGAATAATAACTCTTGAGTTACTGCCCTTTACATACTATAGACTGAGAAGTCAGTTGCCGCAAACCCAACTCTAGTGAACCTTCTGATAAAAGTTGATGATTCTGGAAAACTCTGCTTCCTTCAAAGGAATTTCAGTGGGACAAAATCTCATTATGTTAATATGGATGGCTTCAAGAGGGAATTAGAAAAAATGTATGGAGCAGAGGTCCATCAATGGCTATTAGCCACAAGGTATAGATAGGAATTCTTGGTCTGGGGTAAGTGATGCTCTATATTCTTGGTGCTGGGGGGGGGGGGGGGCGTGGCGGCAGTGGGAGGGCTTCTAGTGTCCTGGCCCCACTGCTAGACCTCCTGATGGCAACTGGTATTTTTGGTCACTCTGTGACAGAGTGTTGAACTGGATGGGCCATTGGCCTGATCCAGCATTGGCTTCTCTTATGTTCTTAATCAGAAAGCAGGACAGGTTACTTTAATGGGGAAAGCTTGAAGGGCAAACCTATTTGCCGTCTGATTTTTACCTCCAGTTGCAAGCCCAAAGACAAATTAAAAAGTGTTTGGAGTAGCAGAGGGTATAAAGCTCCACTGAGTGTGCAAAATCATTCACGTCGTTCTTTGGACCCAAGCCTTATTTGTACAAAGAGTCAAAGCAACACCATTCTAATAAGAGTCCACGAACAATCACTTCCAAGTGGTGATAATTCCCATTTCTGACTGGTAAATAACCACTCAGCTGACTACCTATGAGGAATAAAAATGGCCTCCTGGCACAGACACTTGTGCAGTGGAAGGAGGCTGGGGCTTTTATCATCTTTTCCAGGTCAACAATTTTTCACAACTGTGAGTGAGGCAGGCTAGGAACAAGCTATGAGCTAAGTCCTTTTACACATTTCTCTGCAATGGCGGGGGGGGGGGGGACATGGCTCAGTGGATGTATGGAAGCAAAGCTCTCGGGTTCAATCCTTGGCATTTCCCGCTGAAGGGACATGACCTTAATGGGTCTGAAGAAAGTCTTTGCACCGGAGACCTTAGAAAACTGCTGATCTGAAGAGATAGTATCGGGTTCAACCATTCACCCAATTCAGTAAAGGTAAAGGTTCCCTTGCTCGAAAGCCAGTCGAATCCGACGCTAGGGTTGCGGTGCTCATCTCCGTTTCAAAGTCGAAGAGCCAGCACTGTCCGAAGACGTTTCCGTGGTCATGTGGCCAGCATGACTAAACACCAAGGCGCACGGAACGCTTGTTACCTTCCCACCGAAGTGGTCCCTATTTATCTACTTGCAATTTCTTGCTTTCAGACTGTTAGGTTGGCAGGAGCTGGAACTAGGGACGGGAGCTCACTCCATCATGCGGCACACTCGGGTCTCGAACTGCTGAACTACTGACCTTCCACCGCTTGCAGTTCAGCGTCTTAACCACTTGAGCCACCGCAGCTCAATAAATAAATAAATAAACCAGCAATTTAGCAACATCTAGTTTCAGCATAATTTCAAAATCACCCAAAGACTACATTCAGTAAAATATTGTGATCTGAATACAGATCTCATGGAAATGATAGCCATGCTGAAAGTTACCTTAAGTAAAGAATCCCTGAACTGAGGGGAGGGGCAGAAAAAGAGAGAAAAGGATACTACTAAACATCAACAAATGTAACAGCCAAATGTGTATGCTCACTAAGAATACAAGAAAGTAAAACAGACCTAAGTAAGAGGAGTTACCTCACACAAAGGTAATCTAATTGCTGTCACCTCCTTTTTTAAAAGTTTTTTTAAATTTGCATTGTAAATTATTATTACATTACAATCCAGTCCCAGTTCTCTTATTTTTCTCCCTTTTTATATCCCTCCCCCCACAAGGTGGCCATCACATAACTTCAAATTAAATTTTTAACCATGAGCACATTTTTTTTATTTTTTCAAGTATAATGGAATTGGCTTCTCCATTATTTACCCATTAAAAATATACAGCCCATTTCTTTTTTATCTCCTTCATCTTTTTTTTATCTCCTTCATCTTTATCTCCTTCATCTTTCCATCTTTCCAATATATCTGACTGAATATATTCGTATAAATAGTCGTTCCATCTATCTAAAGACCACTTCAAGTTCTCCTTCCAACCATATGCAATCACAGCATGCGCAGCTAATAACATTGCTTTAAAAATATCCTGATTCCGTCTCTCAATGTTATAGTTTCCCAGTACACCCATAAATAATTGCTGTGTCACCTCCTGAGATAATGTACTGTTAGTGACCAGCAAAGAGTTTAGAAAGGAAGAGGTGAGAAAAAGAAGAAAAAGAGTACAAAATGAAGTGAAATGTGGGCAATAAAGAAGGGAGAGACGTATTTAGGTTACCGGGTCCCACCCCCCCAGGCTACCGGCGGGGAATGGGGAGGTAGGGTTGCCAGATCCAAGTTGAGGAACTCCTGAGATTTGGGGAGGAGAAGGACCTCAGAAAGGCCAGAACGTCCACCCTCCAAAGCAGCCATTTCCTCCAGGGGAACTGATCTCTGTAGCCTGCAGATGAGTTGTAATTCCAGGGCATCCCTAGGTCCCACCTGAAGGCTGGCATCCCTGATTTACTACTGACAGATCAATACAGAAAAAAAGGGATATGATAGTTCAGTATCTATCATATTGTCAGGTAGCCCTGTCATAGTTCTGGAATGTGGAGGGGTACCCTCCCTCTTGTTCTCAGCTCTACCCTGCTCAGCTACTGTGTGCTATCTTATGGTTGACCTTGTAGATGTTCCAGCTGCAGTTTTCACGGCTGGGAAAGTTAACGGCTTTTCTGCTATGCCTGCTTGGGTCATGCTTACAGGGGGAATTGTTTGATTTCACTATAAGTCAGAAGCCTTAGCACTGACGGCCATTCCTGACACAAGCTGTACACGTGTTCTTTAGTACTGGATCCACTAATAAACAGTTATCTTCTTATGAAGCCCTGTGTGGTGTGACCTGACTAAGGAGCCTGACACATATTCTGCCCTTGAATATAGTTGTGTACGGTAATATACATAATATATTGTTAGCTACTGTAAGACATAAAAATCTTCCAAGGACAATTATATCCTTAAAATTTAAATTTCAGTTCACTCAGATTTCTTGTTAAATTCTGGCTACCCCATTGCAGATTTTGCTAAATACTACTCTTCAAACTGTTATAAAATTAAAGGCGATTTTAAAAGACTTTGCTCTTTGATTCTGGCAAATTAAGAACTGGGATGACAAATTCATTATCAGCAAAAAGGATAACAAAACCAAGTAACGTTCAAGCTCCAAAGCATCGTAATGGAACAGCCACCACATCTGCTTCCCCAGCTGTCATCACCAACCTGAAGTCACCTTTGTTGTTGACAACTCTTTCCGGTGGGCAGTACTGTGCCGAGCTGTCCAATACGACGATGTCAATGGTCCTTGAATTATTCCCACGCTTGGTCTGCACATGGCAACCCCAGTTGCCCGTAGATCCAGCTTGAATATTTGAGATGGTCAAGGCACTAAGATTAAGGTCAGAGAAAAGATCAGCATTTAAATACTGCAGAAAAGCATTTACAAAGGGTCAATTCTGTTCAGAAAGCCAGTTTACTCTGCCTGGTATGGGAATACTTGAAGATTCTCAAAGCTTAACAAAAAGCACTGGGTTAGATCCAGCAATTATTATTTTTTTGCTTTTGTTAGAGCTCTGGCAAAAGTGGACATTCAAGAAAAAGACCGCAACAGCTACTTGGGGTAAGTCAAACTTACTGTATTCCCACCTGCATTTCTCCTTGCACAAGATCTACTGTATTCCCATCTGCACTTCTCCTTGCACAAAATCTTGTGCACCCAATTCCTGGGCACTGTAGCAAACTGGGAGGAAAGCACTAGGTATTACATGGTCTTGCACAAGCGGAGCTGTGCTACACATTTATGTTGCCATTTATGTATCACTGGATCCAAGCCAATGTATGGGGGGGGAAATCTCTTCCCGGAGCATGGTACTGAATTAAATCTGCATATTCCACCCCACCCCATCGGTTGGGTGGGTAATATATTTTAAACAAATACTGCATAACTTTTAGTCATCTTCCAACCCAAAATGTGCCCAGTGCAGTAGCACTTAAGGCAGAAAATGAATGTGAAGTGCAAATGATGGCAAAAACTGTATGCCGTTGGAGATGCAGCGCTGTATGCTTCTATCCTAGGGAGAAAGGATTACGTGAGAATAGATTTGCCCAAGTTGTGAGAAACTCATTTCTGCTTTAAATACACACGAGAGCAGACAAGGTGTTTTTCCTAGGTCACATCACATGAGTAAGTGAAATCAATCATTTGCCAGAACAACCAGACCACTTACACACAATTAGCCAAGAAAGGTGAAAGTGCAGGGTTGGTGGGTGAACAGGACTGCTCTTACATGCATGCGACTGAGCTTATGAGAGCAAGAGCTTATACACATACAGATGTGTGTTGCATGTGAACGAAAACCCTCACACATGGGGAGCCCAACTGCACACAGAGGACCTATATCCGTAGCTCCTGCTCACAGATAATACTGAACGTGCACGCGGATGGGGCCATGGATGTGATCGTATTGCTATCCTAGGCATTCTACCATCGCTGTGCAGAGCAACTTGCAAATTTCCATCTACAGACATTTAACAAAGGGATCCAAAAGAACTAGAGGAAACCGCGCACAAAGACCTTACCTTGCAATGAGCGAGCAGTTATGAACCATATTCTTTTCAACAAAAATGCCCTGGGATTCATCGGTTTCTACTATCTTTCCATCCTGATACCATAGAATCTGCATGTCCTGATCAATGTATGAAGCCATACACTGGAAAGGCAGAATGTCTCCTTCAAATACAACCTGACGATGAGACGGGGTCATGTAGAAAGATGGTAACTCCAAAGGTGGCTCTGTATTCCATTGCAGGGAGGAAAACACACACATTGAGTTTCTAGATTAACAGTTTGTTTTGCATCTCAGGATACATTTCCAGTATTACTGCTTGTGAATTTGAAAATTCATATATAGAAACTTTACATAAACACAAGTAGGAACAGGTGCACATACCATCTGATATGCTTCCCATGAGAGTTTATGCTCTGGATATAATACCAAAGTTCAAAATACATGCGGCAGACAAAATATACATCAACAGTGTGTGAAGACTGTATTTATATGAATTCTACCTCTCCCTTTCAAAACACTCCACTTGCAGATATTAAGTGTGGTGTGGCCATAGCTGGTCCACTGAATTTGTTTTCTTGCATTATCAGTATCAGGTTACCAAGTACCTCATAAACAGCAATATTTAGGAACTTAAAATATGAGTTGCTGTCTATACCACATTAAAGTCCAGTCCTTTGCCCTATCATTCTTCTCCAACCATCTGGTATTTGAGGGTATCCTGCCCCTGTACATGGATGTTCTATCAAGCATTAGTAAAGCTGTTTTACAAGAATTTCTTGAATCCTTTCTTTTTTACAATTAAGTTAGCGGGCATCACCACCGCATATGGCAGCGAATTCTCTCATTAGGCATTCTGTGAAGAAGCCCTTCTTTCTGCTGCTCCTGAACCTACTGACAATCCACTTTAGTAGAAAATCTAAGTCTAGTAGTGCGTGGAAGAAAACTTATCATTCTCTTATTTAAGTACATACAACATTCACCACCACCTCAGTGTGAATAGGATCAGCTCAAATAAAACTGTATTGTGAATTAAAGTCGTACAGCTACTTCTGTAATTATTTCTATCTTATATTAGTGCAGAGATTTGTTCTTCAAAAATTCTGTGTCCACACTACTGGGCAAGCTCAGTAACTTCACACTTTTTTCGGACCCACCACCGATGCTCCCTCTAAGCTGTGGAGTCTTGTAAGCAAAAATTCTACTTTGTGAGCTACTGGCATTAAAGTTGTGAGCCAGCGATTTGGCTGCTGCATAAACTAGTTTACTCTGGAGCCATCCTTTCCTGAGCTGAGACAAAAAGGCGTGAGCTGGAGTCTAAGAAACTGTGAACTAGCCCACACTAACTCAGCTTAGAGGGAACACTGCCCACACTACAAATGTAATTGTGCCTCTGCCAGTGCATCTGCCAAATTCCTTCTCCGGCTTTACCTTCTGGTAAACTGTGAGCCACTGGTAGTCAAAAATTACTGAACAAACACAGATCCCAAATCCCCTCATCAATAAGCAGCAAAATGGCAAAGTTTATGTAATTCTTAAATGCTTCCATAAACTTTTAAGCAATTTCAACACTTATGCTTTCAATAAACTACGCTGCTAACAGAAGAAATCTGTTTACCAACAGTTCTCAGCTTGTCTGAAGAGCAAGTTATAAAAGCAGATGAGATGTATATGGACGTGTCTGTTCAGAAGATAAATTTACAGCTCTGTTGTAACATCTGACATGCCTTAAAGGCAATTATTAGTCACTTCTCTTCTCCCTTCTTCTAATCTTAATTTTTTTAAAAAATTAAGCATGTTTATACTGTAGGCTAGAAGCAACTCAAACTTTCAGAAAATTATGAGTTCTGATATCATACAGCCTCCAAAATATAACTCTGCATATTATAGCTCCGATCCTATCAACTGTGGAAGCAGACAGTTCTCTATCTGCCCCCTTCTTCCAACAATACTTTTTGATTCACAAAAGGCCATGCTGACGATTGGGGGACCTAACTGGACACAGCCTTATGGGACAGAGGGTTGTAAGGAGAAAAATCAGGCAAACTTGCCACTCCTCCACCAGTGGAAAGCTGGTAGGATCCAACATAGTACTTATTTCTTTACTATCTTTTCCCCCACTGCTCTGTTTGGAAGGATGGGGGGAAAGACATGCTCTGCTGCTATTAAAAAAGAAGAGGTTTAGTTAAGTTCCCATTTTAGGAAAAGAAAAGTTAGGCTTTGGCTTCAGGGGGGAAAAAATCCAACAGCTCAAATGGTATACAGTTAAAAGAACTGGAGCTGCTCACGAAGCCTAGAGGCCCAGGGGAAAAAAAAACCACAAGGAAAAATGGGGGGTGGGATTTTCCCTCTCGTTTTTTCCCCAAGGCCCCCCCCCCCCCCCCAACTTTTCTGATGGAAAAATTGGAAATTTCAGAGAGTATTAAAAAGACTGCTATAAAACCTGCATGTTTCCAGAAAAATTTCCAGCTTTGGTTCCAGAAAAATTTATGCCTGAAGATTTGTTCGAAACACGCAGGTTATGCCCGGGAGGCGTGTTGCTAGGCCTGCTTGCTAAGTTGAATCATCACAGTGAGAAATACAAGCTGCCTGCTAGCTTTACCTGATTGATCATCACTTGGGAAATGTACAATAGGTTGCTGCATTGTTCGGTACAAATAACTGTACATTGGTATTTATCCTCCATCAGGAAGAAGACAGTTGGACTCTTCATGTTATATAACTTAGTTTGAAAGTGTTTGAAATGTGATGTTGTCGTTTGAAAGTGTTTACAATACACTAGAGTTGATGTTATGTATAAAAAGCAAATATATTTAGCTATAAGTACATGTAAATATTGTGTTTATTATTTCAACACGGTGTTTTCTGTGTTTATCTGACTTAGCTGTGTCCCCTTTGTGCTTGTAGTTATTTTATTAAAGCAGTAAATCTGGTTTAGGTTTGATAGTATTGTATATATTTCAATCCCCCCCCCCAACGTTTCAATTTTTTCCTGTGGCTTCAAAATTTACAAAAATTTTACATCCCTGAGAAGTCCAAAAGATTCCTTCCTTCCAAAGTCGCCATGCTGGCTGAGTTTCATTGTGAGAGCCAGCGGGGAAAAAAACCATCAATCAAGAAGAAAGCAGAGAATAAAGATGCTTGTGGCATTGCGCACCAGAACACATGTCCCAGAGATTCCAGATCACTAGGCTGTAACTCTCTTACCACACGTCAGAAGCTCCTGCTTAACACTCACAACCAGTTGGGCCTGTAGTGACTTGGGGAAAGCACATCGGGTCTCGCGTACCGTTATGTTTCTGTCCTGTAACCACTGCTGCATCCACAACATATTACAATCACATAGAAGATAATCAGTCTGGAATTCTCTGGAACATATCAAAGAATAGGAGGATTGTTTTTTTACAACATGTAGTCTCAACGAATCCAGGAGGAATTTTAAGTACATAACTGAGCTGCTTCCAAATATATTTGAAAATCGATAGCCACATTACAGTTTTCAGTGATGTATTTCAGCCCGAGTCCTTAAGAAATTTTACTAGCCTGTTTATGCATGCGTATTTGAAATAATAATTCATAGTAATCTAATGGTTTAAGAAAGAACCAGCTGCCTTGGAATTTTACACAAGCTTGCCTATTTGGTTACACGGAGGTGATTCTTACCTGTCTCAAACTACCGGATGAGTTGTCTGGTCACTTATAAGCCTCAAGTCAATATATACTTTGAACATCCTCTGTCTGTCTCATAAGGACTTTTAGATTTTACTACAAAAGCTAGAATGCCTACTGAAACATGGCTTCCAAATAAAATGAAACGAATGATTATGTACTGCATTTGATTTTAACTGCAAAAATCTACCGAAGTACAGTTACACATTCTATTTTAAAAGCCTCAAAGAGATTTTTTTTACTTACAAAGACTTTAGCGAAGTAAGATAATCAAAGGTTCCTTGTGCAAGTGATGAAAACAAGTTTCCTGAAAGATTTCTAGGAAAAGATTTTTTAAAAAGGAAAGAAACATTAACATGAGGTACGAGGAATACTTAGTTCTCAGAGATGGGGAAATCTGCATTGTCGGAGTTATATTATGGAACTTGATGTACTAACAGCACAATCCTAAGAACATCTTCTTGGGAGTAAGGCCCATTAAACATATCTGAGTAGGATTCTGAGTAGACCTGCTTATGACTGCTCTCCAGATCCAGAACCCTGAGGAGAAAGTCAAGAACTGGAGCTCTCCTTTGGATCACTACTACACCCCAACAACTTGCATAAAAACGAACAAAAGAAAATAAGGTGGCACAAACAAAAGAAAATAAGGTTCAAGCTTCTGTAGCAGAGAAAGGACAATGTCTGGCATAATGTGTTTTCTGTATATGCCACACTTTACTTCATACAGGTTAGGCAGATTCAGGATTCTACAGCACAAGACCATACTGCAAAGCACAGGTGTGAATGGGGTCAGACAGGCACCTCAAACGTGATGATTAGAAAAGACTAAGACAGACCAGAAAATGATCTAGTCACTCTAAGGCCGAGTTCAGACTGGCAGTTTGAAGCGGGAGGGAGCCATGGCAAAAAAGAGCCGGAACAAACTTTTCCCATTTACACTGCACTGACTGATGCGGGAGCATACCGGGAGGAGGCGCAAGGGAGCGTTCACACTGTTGGCCCGGAGGCACGGCTGTAAGGCGTGGCTTTCTTTTTGGCAATCTGGAGATATTTATTTATTTTCACACTTACATCCCGCCCTCCCCGGTGGGCTCAGGACAGCTAACAGAGGCCAGATCATTAGTCTAGCCATAAGTAAAAACATATAAAAATATAAAACATTAAAACTAAGACTAAAGTGCTCTATCCAGTTACTAGTGTCCTAGATCCAAGATGGTATCCCCACGACTTGAGCTGGTATTCTCAGCGTACATATCCAATGGCGACGGCGTTTCTGATGTAATTCCAAGTTCTTCCTGGGGTCCCGTCAATGCATCCATTCAGATGTCTTGACAGTGGTGGTATAGTAGGGCGGCGGCTCCTACTCAAAAGCCTGGCGGAAGAGCTCCGTTTTGCAGGCCCTGCGGAACTGCTCAAGCAGTTGAGCACATAAGAAAAACATGGCTTTCGGCGTTCACATTTTGTTCACACCACGGGATGGACGCAGGATAATCGCGCTTTCCAGGGTTTGCTACCACTTTCACCAGGTATCTTTTAAACTCGGGAGCAAAGCGTTACAAGACGGGTTGAGTACGGGTGGGGAACGCCTGACAAATGTGCCTGTGTGAAGGGCCCCTTTAATCCAGTTGTGGAAGGTTTCTGAAACGTGCCTATGTCGGGGCAAACAGCCAGTCTGAACTCGGCCTAACTTTCTCTTTCCAAAATGGGGAAAGTAGCAAACTGGCATCGGATCTAACAACCTACCAATTCATGTCACCAACTCCCAGGGTCTTTAAATAAAGGGAACCCAACAATGCTTTTAAAACGGGGGGACAAAATGAACTCAGACTCTTTCGCAAAGAAGCAGAAAGGATGGTGGGCTGGGAGAGAGTGCTGGACACTCATGCGAAGGGAAGGCAGTTAAATGAAGCATTACCACTTACTGAAGAATACAGTGCAATAAAAATTAGACTAAAATTAATGGGCGTAGACTGGAGTGACTCCGCATATGATTGCCTTGTAAAAAAAACAAAACCCTGCACTTTGGTGAGTCCCCTTCAGAAGACATCACTATATAATCAGTTTCCAATACTGTCAAGACTCCCCCCTCCCAATCCCCTATTTTTTGTAGGATGGCAATTTTGCTGCCCATTTTTGGAACAGGTTGCCCAGGAACACAGTTAACAAGCGAGTACTTTTGAAAGAAGGGAGAAAGGCCTGCTGGGTACGTGCACCAGAAGTTACATTTAGCAGAGCGATACTTACAATCTAATGAGATTTGTCAGTCCTTTAAATATGTCTGTGTTCAGGCATCCTATTCGATTGTTCGTTAAGTCTCTGTCCAAAGGAAAACAGAACAGAAAACGCACGCATGTTTTAAAAATGCCACTTTTTCTGATGTCCAAATGATTGCAGACACTATAGAAAGCACCAGGGAGGATGGAAGGGTTCTGACTGAACTGCTTACGTGTTCTGGTAAGATCAGATACGATGACTGTCATGTGCTCACTGCTCCTACTGGGATTCCCAGAGATGCTGGTGGGAATGTATCCCTAGATACCATATTTACCAAAATATAAGAAGCTTTTAAAAAAATATATACTTTTAGGGGGCTTTCAAGGGGCGGGTGGGTTGTCTTAAACTCAGGCACAAATTTATTTAAAGTTGTCCCCATTCTACTGAGGGGAGGTGCCACTCCCACAGCCTAAGGGGATCCCGCCTGCTGTCCCTGCCACGCCTTTAGAGGGGAAGAGGGTGGGAAACTTGGGTCACGTGACTGGAAGGGCAGCCAGGGCATTCCTTCCCTCCGTGCTTTCTGGCTTGGCCAGGGAGCACAGGGCGAGTAAGAGGATAGCCCAGTGGTGGCGAACCTATGGCACGGGTGCCAGAGGTGGCACTCGGAGCCCTCTCTGTGGGCACGCGTGCCATCACCCCAGCCAGGCCCAGACCATAATTAAAGTGTCGAATTCTCTGCCAAATAATTTTAAGTAAATGAAAGCATTTGGGATTGCTTTCCTGACTTTGTTTGGATCATCTTAAGTTAATGTATGGGTTGTTTTTTCTAAAGTAAAACCTCAGTATTCAGGTTAAATCACCGTGTTGGCCCTTTGCGATAAATAAGTGGGTTTTCGGTCGCAGTTTGGGCACTCGGCCTCTAAAAGGTTCGCCATCACTGGGATAGCCCCTTCATCAGCTGAGGGGATGGCCAGAGGGCAGCCCATGAACGTCCAAGTTGCGGGGCAGAGGGAGCTCTAGCAGCTGTGTCACCCTGAATGATGCTTTCTGACTGGGAATAACTGAACCCAGGGCTCTTTTTGTAGCAGGAACTCCACTGCATATTAGGCGACACACCCCTAATGTAGCCAACCCTCCAAGAGCTTACAGTAGCCCCTGTAAGAAGAGCTCTGTAAGCTCTTGGAGAATTGGCTACATTAGGGGGGTGTCGCCTAATATGCAAGGGAGTTCTTGCTACAAAAAGAGCCCTGAAGAGGCAATGTCAGAGGGCAAAGGTGGTTGTGACAAGGGAACCCTCAGAAGGTTGCAGATGGGGTGAAGAGACACTGAGTAGATAGAGGTGGGCTGGAGGAGAGAACCTCTGGCTGGCTGACTCTGGGGGTTTTTTTGGGGGGGGTGGTCTTAAAGCAATGCCATCTGTTTTTATGTCTAGCCTTCTCTTTCTTTAGGGGAACTGTCTTATTTCGGTAACTGCAACAGGACACTGCACACCAGGAGGTCTCATGCCTATGGCGGAAAGGATTTTTTAAAAAAAAGATCACTGCAGTAATGTCATCTGTTAAAGTAATGCCATCTGTTTTTACGTCTAGCCTTCTCTTTCTTTAGGGGAACTGTCTTATTTTCAGGGCCATCTTCCTTTTGACTAAAGACAGTTAAGTGCTTAATTCAGAACACAACAGCAAAATGATTTATATGGCTGACCGTTTCATTGGTTCAAGCAGGCTGCATGAGATGCCCAAGGGCTGTACTACTTGAACGAAGAGAGTATTCTTTTATTTTGAAGATGGTTGTTACTGAATGGTTCGTGAGTGCTGAATCTTTGGCAAAGGGTCTAACTTCCTCACTAAACAACTGCGTGTGGCCCGTGATCCCTTCATGAACCTTTCAGCAGCACGGCAGACATTAATATGGGCATAATGAGAAGGAATCAAGCAACTATCTTATTGGAGGCTCAGGTGCTCACACCCCCAGCAACTGCTGCTTGCCCAAGTACAACAGCCAGATGACTGTAATAACGCAACATCTGTTTTTCACATGGCTTGGTGCTACTCAGTATGTTCAGAAGAAAACCACCATGGTGCAGTTTCTTTGGCAGAAGGCAATCTTTATCTCTGTTCTTGACATGTTATGAAGCCACCACTAGGTGTGAGAGTGGAAGAGGAGGGCAGGAGGCAAACACATGTTCCTCATCCTTCCATGTGGGGAGATACTTGCCAAGTAACATCTGGACATGCTACAGCTGTAAGAGTCACAAAGAGCCAGTTTGGTGTAGTGGTTAAGTGTGCGGACTCTAATCTGGGAGAACCGGGTTTGATTCCCCACTCCTCCACTTGCACCTGCTGATGTGACCTTGGGTCAGTCACAAGCTCTGGCACAGCTGTACCTGAAAGAGCGGTTTGTGTCAGAGCTGTCTCAGCACCACCCACCTCACAGGGTGTCTGTTGTGGGGAAGGGAAAGGAGTTTGTAAACCGCTCTGAGACTCCAAGTGAAGGGCGGGGTATAAATCCAATCTCTTCTTCTTTAGTTCTTCTCGATAAAGCCAATCTCTGTTATTTATTTATTATTTGCATCTATATCCCGCCCACTCGCAGACGGGCTCAGGGCGGGTAACATCATTATAATAAATGCCATTTCAGTTTAAAACACGATAAAACATCATAGCAATTAAAACAATGGGCACAGCTTGAAACAGCATCAGTTGGCTATAAAGTTCTGGCCCGATGGTGCAGTAAGTTCAAGGCCAGTTGTTGGTGGTCGGTAAATAGACGGGTGATAGCAACCTCGGGGATGCCATATATGGGCGCCTGTTGCCTCAACCAAACACCTGGCGGAACAGCTCCATCTTGCAGGCCCTGCGGAACTGAAGAAGATCCCGCAGGGCCCCAGTCTCAATTGGGAGTATGTTCCATCAGACTGGGGCCAGGACAGAGAGGCAAGACAGGCATCCTTTGGGTCAGGGACCACCCTGTTACTTGCCCCTTGTTAGTTTCTTTTGCAGATCTACATTTTTAATGGGGTAACAGGATTTGTAAGTGTTTTCAAAAAGGGCACAACATAGATTTCAGTAACTGCAACAGGACACTGCACACTAGGAGGTCAATCATGCCTATGGCTGAAAGGATTTTTTTTTTTTTTTTTTTAAAGATCACTGGAGTTTTAGTTCAGGCCAGCAATTAATATACATCCTACTTAACATTTTACTTAACTCCAAGTTAGCAAACGTAAATACTTACAATCTTTTCAAAGACGAAAGTCCTATGAAGGCTCCTGGTTCTATAGCACTAATGAAATTGTTCTTAAGGTCCCTGTTTAAAAAAAAAAGTGTAAAGATTCATCAGACCACAAGACTGAATTTTCACGCTGACAGGAACCTGTTTATAATATTCAGGGGTGGGAGAGAGAATTATCTACTTACAGAACCTTCCTAACTAAAATGAAATAAGCACACTATTTATTAACTGGTTAAAAGTCTAGGCTAAGTCTAGGTATCATGGAGGTCTCCGCCACACGAATCAGTAATTCTTTATCCCAGTAATGTTAAATTTACTTTGTAAGCCGCCTCAAGTATGTTCCCTGGAGCGGCAGCATAATTTTTTTCTAAACTCAGAAAACAAAAACATCTCTTTCTCTGCAGTAGTCTTCAACCCTTCCAGATCTGGTAAAAAGGTAAAGGTAAAGGTTCCCTTGCTCGAAAGCCAGTCGAGTCCGACTCTAGGGTTGCGGTGCTCATCTCCGTTTCCAAGCCGAAGAGCCAGCGCTGTCCAAAGACCTTTCCGTGGTCATGTGGCCGGCATGACTAAACACCAAGGCGCATGGAACGCTGTTACCTTCCCACCGAAGTGGTACCTATTTATCTATTTGCAATTTCTTGCTTTCGAACTGCTAGGTTGGCAGGAGCTGGAACTAGAGATGGGAGCTCACTCCGTCATGCGGCACCTGGGTCTCGAACTGCTGAACTACTGACCTTCCACAGCCTGCAGTTCAGCGTCTTAACCACTTGAGCCACCGCAGCTCCCTCCAGATCTGGTCCTGATCATTAATTGCCAGGCAGGAGCATGTGTCAGCTACGCTGCCATGGGGGCTGGGGAGCTCGGTCTGTGTCTGGTTAATTGCTACTGCATTCCTTTCTGTGCTTTTTCTACTTTGCGCGAAATCCTTATACTAATGCTGAAGTTGCCCCCGGAGTGTGGATATCTAAATCTGCACTTTGGGGGCACCTGGGGGGGAGGGAGAGGTTTGTGCACACGTGGGCCAGTCCCCATGTGTGCACAAAAATAAAAAAAGTTGAAAAAAAATTCGGGGGGATGTTTAAATCCCCCCGAAAGTGCAAGAATCCCCCCGAAACTGTAACTGCCGCTTGGGAGGGAAGCAGCAAGCAGGGAGGGGGGGCAGAGCAGCGAGGGCCGATCGGCTTGCCGCAAGCCGATTGGCCCTCGGTTTGGAGCCAGAGGGGGGGGGGAGGGTGGGGAGAGAGAGAGGGAGAGTTGCGCAGGCC